TGGAAGTCTCCTGGCCCTCCTGCCGCACTTCATTTCAGTCAGGATGCAACGCTCCTGAGCCTGTAGCAGGTGATCCTTGAATATAAGCCAGCAGTCTTGGGCCCCCCTGCCCTCTAGACTATATCCCATGGAACCTTACTAAGCAGGTTCCTGAAGAGGCCAAAGTCTGCTCTCTTGAAGTCCAGGGCAGAGAGCTTGCTGCATGCTCTTCTCACTGTCCTGAGGATCTCAAACTTGACCATCTCATGATGGTCGAGGCCAGATACAGAAAGAGATGTCACTTTGTTTTCCTAGATAGTCTTATATGTCTTTATGTGTATCCTAACATGGTACACTGTAACATTGGATAATCCAAAAATTAATGAGCACTCTTGTTCTGTGAGTTAGGGAACAGACTCATAGTTTGCAATTATGCATCTAAACAAAATGAATTTTGAACACTTGCCAGTAAAATACCATAAATTAAGAGTTATTCACCAAGTATTATCTAGCATAGGACCATAACATAAGAATGGCTACACTGGGTCCAGTATCCTGTCTCTGAGAGTGTCAAAAATGCCTACCTGGAAAACCAATAATGTAACACCTATCTTTCAAAAAACAAGAAAAAGTTTTTAACTTCTTAATAGAAAGAAAAATCTTTAGTTGGGTTTTTTGTTGTTGTTGTTGGTTTGGTTTTGGGTTGTTTTTTTTTTTTGTTTCCCTATATCTTGCAGTTTATTTTTATTCCTAGTTAAGTGTAATACCTGAACACTTAAACTACATGAAAGGTACGATAAGCAGTGTTGGAACTGAGGAGCTATAATCAAATCACATATATAATCTACCTCACCAAATAGGACAGAATTCATATGGAGTAAAAATTTAGGCTTAAATAGAAATAAAGTCAATGTGGACTATATGACTGATGATCTGGCTTGGATGACAACCCTAACTCAAGATCTTGAGCAGGGCTAATTATGACTGCTAAGTTTCAAAACATTTTTTGCTACATTAGAAGATCCATACACAAAAATGTGGACATACGACCCTCCAGTTTTAGGAGATGAATGTAAAAATTTGAGTTTCTTTTTATTTCTTAAAATTACTGTATCTGCATGCATTTTAATGCATAAAATATGCTGTCTTTACACCAAAGTTTATTGTCATGTCTGGGTTTCTTGTTGATGTGAGTGAATCGTAATGAATATTCTATTAATAACAGAGAATTTATTGTCTTGTTATCTCTGGAATATATTAAAAATGGATAAAAAACCCCCTTTCACTGTAGAATTGTATTAATGATAATTATTAATATCAATGACAATAATTAATGTAATGGCAGAAACAGTAATGTTATCTCTTGCAAGTGAACAGACTTAAGTTACAGGCTACGGAAAGTCAGTAAGATTTTCTTCTTAATATAAATCATAGGAAGTTCCTTTAAACTTATCCAATATGGCAATAAGCCTTTTCTTTGATAAAAAGAATTACATCCTTACATGTAATCCAGTTGAAAGGTACTGTGATATGAATTCACTAAAACACAATTTTTGTCAGACTAATATACATAGCATCATAGTAATGAATAATCGATTTCTATCTGCTCTCAGATTGCCATTTTGAGACATGATTTTGTAACTCTTGTGTTTGCGATTCATCTAATTGTTTTTTATGGGTACAAGTAACATAGGAAACTAACTTTTCATGTAAAAGGCAAAATCTTACCACCATTATTAATGAATTCCTATTTCTGTACAGCCAATTATTTGAAGAACTCTCTAGATTCGGGTACTTTGCAATGAATATTTGAAGGATTTTCTCAAGAACTGAAATATGCCTATGTTCATTTATGTGTCTTTTATGCTTTTGGTGGTAGAACTGAATAAAATAAGTAGGGTATATTTCCCTACTCCTGTCTGCAAAACTGCTCAAAGTAAATTAAATTAAATTGAAATAAATTCAAACATTGTTTAGAATACCATTCTATCTAAGAAGCAAATTAATTGCTCTTTCCTGAAGTGGATTAGTTTATGATAAAATCCCAGTAACATGAATCAGGAGCTCACTACTGTTGTTGATAATAAAGCACTTATTGTTATAATGCTAGCATCTGTTAATATATATCCCATAATATTTCCCTATATTTAGAAGAGAGGAAAAATAAAAAAAGATAGTTGTCAAGCAAGCGAGAAAGTAAGTTCTGCCTATATAGACATAGATACTCTGGTTATTGTTGGTATGAACAGAGTGACTTAGAATTAATATTTCTAACAAAAGCTAATTAACCTCTACATTATTTAGCATCTTATTAGTGATTATAGATATTAATAATATTGTCAGTAGTTAACAAACTATCCTAAATGTATTCAGAATTTTAAATTGCTTGAAAGGTTGAACCTTAAAGAAGTTACTGAAAATATGGCTATTTTATCTTTAAGTACTACTGAAAATTCTATCCTTCACCAACAGAGAGCTTCCATCTGACTTTTAAATCCTATCCAGCTATAACATGCATTTAACAGCATATATTCCTTTTTCAAACATGCCTTCATATGACCTCTTGGCTTTCCAGCAAGTATGAAAATTGTGAGATTGGGCCTCCAAAGTCACTATAAGCAAGAATGGGGTTGCTGTTGATATTTCTGTTGATTGTATTCTTTTTAAATAAACAGTGTAAAACAAATTTCATAATAAATAATATTTTTTCTGTGTTTTTTATAGGTCTCATTGGTTAGTTTAATAGCCAATGCTTTGGGCTATTCTGAACTTGGTGCCATTAAATCGCTTCGGACATTACGAGCTTTAAGACCTTTAAGAGCCTTGTCACGATTTGAAGGAATGAGGGTGAGATAAAATGAATGAGTCTGAATGCATACATACATACAAAAAGTAATGTAGAAGTTTGACACTCATGCCTTCTGCAAAGAAGTCCAGAATGGGAATGCATGCAAAAATGTATGGAAAAGCCTTCCAACATGCCCTTATACAAAAGATGTACATTTGGAGATGAGACTTTGAGCTCATTAAATTCGTCTGCTGGCTGCTACATAGTTGTGTTTTCCATTGATTTGTAGATCTATATAGAAAAGTAAAAGGACATGAGAAATTTTAGAACAGAAGGTTGGAGGTTTTTCCTCCAGTTTAGCTGAGAACTTTATGTTACACATTTCTATAGCTCACTTCTCTGTCAGTTTGTCAGTGGTATAGATGGAACAGGATTAGCTGGAAAACAAAACAAAATAAAGTAAAGCAAAATAAAGCAAAGCAGAAAAAAAAACCAAAACAAAAGTTGAAGAAACTGACAACAGTGACACACTTTTATAGCCTCCCTATAGCGTCCTATAGCCTCCCTGCGGCTCCCTGTCTACCTGCCTGGGGAAAAATATCCCATAATAAATGCCGTAGTATTAGGGAAAGGTTCTCTGATAACTGTGAGGTTGGAAGTATAGAAAAGGAGAGATGGGAAATAATTTTCTCAGCTAATGTCCTTTACTTCATATGAATGTATCTGCCGCCATCTTACCTCTCCTCCTACACAGCTTAAATCCTTCCTGTTGAGGAAATTATTATCTTCATATTCTGACAATCTGACAAAAAAAACCCCAAACTCCCAAACTATTGCAAGCTGTCTGCTGAAAATGCAGCCTATGCTATCTCCTGGAAAAATCAATGCAGAAAATTTAATGTTACTAAGAAATCGCCTTTTAATCTTTTACCTCGAAACACCCAGATGCTGCAATACAAATTTACAGTTAGGTCATGGGTCTTAAGTTTCCAAAGAAATAGGACAGTTCCTTTCTAGGTTGAGGCTGCTGATATTCTAGAGGTGTCCAAACTAGCCAGAGTAGGCTGTGATTTGCATTGCAAACTACACGTAAGTTTCTGTCTACCTAATAAACGGGCAAAACCTCTATTGATATTAGACTACTTCCAGTCAAATTAGTGTATTGAAAAATACTGCTATTTTCAAAACCATACACAAAAAACTACTGCAGCCTCTACTGATTTAGTAGAAAATTACCATGTGAATATCTGCAGCTTTGTTTTAGTTCAATCACAAGAAGTAAAAGGAAATTCTTGTTAAGGGATTTCATCTATCTTTTTCTGCCCTTGCCCATATAGATTAGCTCAACTGTATTAAACGCAACCAAGTAAAAAACATGTAAGTGTAAGAGCAACTATAGTGAGCCAGGCAATTTAAACCCAAGACTTACAGCAGATGCTGTTAATAAAAACTAAATTAGATATGCTTAATTATGTTATATTGTATGTAGATGCTAAAAAACTGGTGTCAATATATTCATAGAGTTTCTGAGAATAAAATCATTAATAATGATAGTTTTACATGTAGACATTTTTATTCAGTCTTCCACATCATCGTTCTATGATCTTTTTCTGGTTTATTTTCTATTTATAGATTTTGATTTGTATTGTTGGAATTTAACATTTATTTCTCTCTTTTTCTCTAGAGCACACAAATTCTAAGAATCCATCTTGCTACTAACAGGTTTTATTTTGCTTTTTGATTTTTTTTCAGACTTTTGCATTGTATTGGTTTCCATATTATTTTATTTCTTGCTTTTTGCAATCTCATTGGTGTTTTTATTGACTCTTAAATAACGTTTCTCCATAAATTTTAATGTAACATTTTAACTGTCCATTCCATATTAATACTGTTTTAACATTTTTAAAGTATTTTTATTTTTCTGCTCACAAACTAAGTGGCTATTTTGTCTAATTTGTACACTAGGTGGTTGTAAATGCCCTTGTAGGAGCAATTCCATCTATCATGAATGTATTGCTGGTTTGTCTTATATTCTGGCTCATCTTCAGCATCATGGGAGTAAATCTGTTTGCTGGCAAATTCTATCACTGTGTCAACACCACAACTGGTGAGATGTTTGATGTCAGTGATGTCAACAATTATACTCAGTGTGAGGAACTCATAAAAAACAATCAAAGTGCCCGATGGAAAAATGTGAAAGTAAACTTTGATAATGTAGGAGCTGGATATCTTGCTCTTCTCCAAGTAGTAAGTAAATTTATATAATTTCTTTTTGCTCTTTTGAAAGAAGTCTACAAAAAATGGGCAAGTTAAGACTGTTAAGTAGTGGAAGAATTTCTTCATATCAATGATGTACAGCTTACATGACTCTACTGCATTGTTACCTTTGTTTTTTGTATTAGTGATAGTAAAGTAACTTCCCATTCCAAGGCTAGGGAACAGAGTCTCATGATGATAATAATGTGAAAATAATAAGTGCACAAGGTACAAGAATATTTTTAGTGCTGCACAATATAAACTTCAGGTATGTATTTCTTGAGTCTTGCCATGGTGGACAAGCTCAGAGGTCCCTCTAATTTTTAAAAAGGTTTCTCCCCTTCTTTATGAGCGCAGTTACCTTGTAAGACAGGAGGGCAGACAGCAGCTTAAAGGAGGGCAGACAACTAACTGCTTGGTCTGAAGTGAGAAATTACTGCCAATGCCTCCTATATTCCAGAGGTCGCTTCCAACCCCAATGATCCTGTGATTCTGTGATCATTACACATCCACAGCAAAATTATTTCAGAGTCAAAATCTATTAATCTAGGCACTTTGGCACGGTGAAATAACTTTTCTTTTGTCAACAGTGTGATCAAGGTAAAGTGGATTTTCCTTCATGCTTATACTTATCTAAGGAACCAGTATATAAGTTAGATGGTAAAAATAAAAATATACCAACTCGGTGTCTCCAGTGAAGGCATATGTTTAATAGAGCCTTGATTTTCCAGACCTGGAAGTGGGTTTGGGGAAAGAAGTCATAAATGATGCAAGATCTGAGATTGGGGCACCCAAGGTTTCACGTACCATGGAGCCAATTCTTTCTCTATTATCATAATACTTGTGTAAGAGGTCTGAAATCCTTTAAGAGATGTAGAAGCCGCCCATGGGAAGAATATGGATAGTTACTGATAAACAGATCCTAATTGAGTATTAGGTCTGATTAATCATATAACACTTTCTTTCGATATTGGCAGATAAACAGTACTTGCTACTAAAATAGATATATTTCATTGAGAAATACATGAAACTACAAAGACACTAAACTCTGGCTAAACCAGGAAAATGTAAAATACTTTTATGACAAAAAATACTCATGATTTATAACTATTATATTCCCTTAATGCATGTTAAAGAGTCATTATAATATACTTAATTCTGTTACTTATAGTATTATCCTTGTGAAGTATTAGATGTTATTGTATTGCATGGCATATTCAATTAATTACTGCTACATATTCAAAGTCTGTAAAGTCATCACTCTCATGTGCTGAGTAGTAGTACTGCATGATGATCCTAATTCTCTGACCAGATCTCGCTGCTACCCTTGCACTAAAGATTAAACCATCTTATTACAATACTTGACTCTGAAGATGTACAAAGAAAACTTCTAGTCTCTTGAAACTGTGTATGAATGTCATCTGTGTCATTCATGCAGACAATGTTGGTCTTTAATTACTACATCACTACTGTGGACCTTTCATTCTGCTTCTCTTTAATTCTTTTTGTTCTGATTCTCTTCCTTTTCAAATATTCCCTTCTGCCCTTTACTTTTCCTGCAGAGATTAAAGGATTCTTGAGCATGTATCATGTCACCTCTTCAGCTGATTGTCCCCATTAACATTCTCCCTCCACTCTTCTTCTGTGTTTATTGGTCTTACCAAACTCTAATCCTCTTCTAGTATTACTATGCAAAAGTGCATCCAATGACTGCCAATTGTAAACTGAGCCACAAAGATCTATGAAGTCTGGCTCCAAGCATACGTTCTTAATATATATCTGTATTGCACTGCAAGATTCAGGACATGAAAACGCCAAGAATGCAAGTTTTCTGCTGGGGAAAGTAGAAGCTGTACCAAAGTACCAGAGCTAGTTCTGGAATGCACAGATGCAAATATACCCCTTGGGATGGTTCCTCTCCTGAATCTCCTCAGGAGAGATCCTTTTTACCTGTTCATTTAACAGGCTTTTTAGCTTTTATTCTTTATTGTGAATAAGCTTGGAATCCCTGGCTAATGAGTGGGCACTCATACTTTCAACTAGAATGTCACACCAACCCTTTGGTGTTCCTCAGAAAGTGGACATTCCGTGTCCAGGAAAATTACCACCTTAGAGCAATTTTGCTCTATTGTAACCAAAGTCTCTATAGGAACTCAGCCCAGAGTTTTGTTGAAGTTAATCCCAGCTCTACCACAGTTCACTTTTGGTCTTCTGGAAATCTTTTTCCTCGAGAAACAATGTGTGTATTTTTATATCTATCTATCTATCTATCTATCTATTCTTTTTTATTTAATTTTGTTTAATGCAGTCTATTCCTTTTAGTTATGTTGGATTAAAACATTTCTAAAAATACCATGGTATTTTAGCCATAGCAAAACCATTCAGATGCATGTTCATATCCGCCCAGAAGCTGTCTTGCTGACTCCATCAATTCATACTGTGCACTTGATAAAATGTTTGTCAGCATGAGCGATTCTACTAAATTTTACTCGAACATCTCCAGCATCGATATCTATCCAAGTCTACCATTCTTGATCTGCAAAGCAAGAATCTGCAGCTCCAAACACACTTTGCCCCTGCTGAGACCTTCCGAGACTGATTTTTAATAACTGAAAAATAACTTCTCAAAAAAAATAGTAGTATTATAAAAATATACCTGTGTTATTAAATGTGGTTTATATATTTAGATATTATTTTACTAAAAGTTAAGGCCCATATACTGTGACCTAGTTATTTTCCACATTATGAATCTTTATAGGGAAGACAAACAACTGTATTTTATTTCTAGGCTACTTTCAAAGGATGGATGGATATTATGTATGCTGCTGTTGATTCACGAGGTGTAAGTATAAGACTTTCAAAGATCATCTGTTGGCCATGTTCCGATACAGAGTTTAAACAGTTACACATATGATAACATTAAGAATTATAATCAGCACCAGCACATATTTTTCTAGATACATTTATTCTAGAAAGGAACTTTTATCTAATTTCATGAATCTTAGAATTTGTAGTGAAAAGAATTAATCCCACTTCCTTCTGTTTAGGCAAATAAGATAAATTAATGTGACTTTTTTTAAAAAGCTAATGTTAATTAAAAAAAAAGAAGAAGAGGGTTTTTAACCACTTCCTTTGGTAATCTTGAGTATTTATTAATTTAAGATTATATAATGTAATTATTACATATTGAATATATTAATCTTGTTTTATAATATGTTAACTGCATTTCATTGTTTAGGTCTGAGCACTTCCTTTATCTATATATTTGTGTGCAATTAGATTCTAAGGTTGAAGAACATCTGTTTTCTACGAATAAGAATTTTAACTTGGCTACAGAACTAAATATGTAAGCCCAAAAGAATTCCAGGGAGATTTAGGCAATTTGATAATTTGATTGATTTGATAAAATTGATTGGTTCTGTTGCATGAAAATATACTGAACATAATATAAAATATTTAAATTTGTGCTGTTAAAACTTTAAGTATTAATTACTGCTCTCAGTCCCACATTGGTTCTTCCTTCTATACAGGGAACTTTGTGTATATGTACATACATAAACACATCTGTGTGCATATTTAGTCTAAAATTCCCTATGAGTAATCATTCTGACAACCTCCAGTTCTCCAAATATTGAGTGGAATGGACATGTTTAGTCTTTTTGATAACTGAGTATGGTTTATAGATTTTCTAGCTAAGATAGCATACACCTACTCATAAATTATATGCACTGTGTTTTTATGTCTCGTATTCTCATGGGTAATAAAATTTATAATGTTTTGCAGGTAAAAGATCAACCTAAGTATGAGGACAACTTATATATGTATCTTTATTTTGTCATCTTTATCATATTTGGATCATTCTTTACCTTGAACCTTTTCATTGGTGTCATTATAGACAACTTCAACCAACAAAAAAAGAAGATAAGTATTTAAAATGTTTCCATAGTTCTATAAATTATTAACTATAATGAATTAACTTATGTAAAGCTAAGAAAAATCAAAAGTAATTTGGATTCCTTGAATAAAAATGCCTCTTTTTTTAACACAATCTGTGTTGAATCTGTGTGTGTGATTTCGACCATTGCATTCCGTTATTTTGACAAATGAAAAGGGACAAATCAGGAGTTGGTTTACAATAGTTTGCAAATTGTGTAAGAGCTAAAGTGAAAATGCAAAAAGGGAATGGGCATTATTCTTTTGATTAGATGTAATAATATCTGCTATATTAATCTTTTAATTAACTCTTGAAAATCAAGACAACTTAATTTTAATTCAAATTATAAACTCTTGGCACTTAATGATAATATAATATGGCATTGCTTTCATACAATAGATTAATAGTTCTGCAAACTGATTAAAGATACAAATAAAAATGTGTACAAAAGAACTCTTTTTCTAACAATTTTGTGAGAAATTAGATGAATTTGTTAGACACAAATACAATCTATAATTTATTAGCAATAATAAAGCAAAGTATAAAAGGAAGGAGATTTAGTTCTGTACGTTCGACATATACGTCTGTTTTAAAAAACTACATTGATAAGGCATATAGTTTTCTAATAATTTTAAAAATAAAAAATACAAATAATCACATTTAAAATATTTTGAAGCCTCATGATTCTCAGCCGTCAGCTGCCAAAAAGAACTCGAACCTCAGGATCATTTTAAATCTCTGTATGCTGTGAAAAAGCAGTTTCATATGATTTGGGTTTATCCGGTCACCAAGTAAAAAGCAGCAGTACTAAACAGAATCTATAGTTAAAGTCCATTGCGAATTATAGACATTTTTCCTTGTGAAAACGTTCTTTAGCTGCTTAAAAGAGCCATAAACAAGAGCCATAAACACATCTGAGGCTACTTCCTCCATTTCTATCAGTTATACCACGCTTTGGACTTCGATATTCAGCTTAGCAGACAGAGACTTTGGCATTATGTTTCTATCTAACTTAGTTCACAATTTGCTTTGTACTGAAATTCAGTTGGTCAGTTGCACATCTGAATGGCAGCATGTGCATCTGCAAACAAAGGCTAATTTCAGTTAGACAAGGTTCCAGCAATGTTTTAATTAATAATTTGCTATGGCACATTTTGGATCACTTTTCTTAAATTTGTATCAAAGGTGATTAAACCCCTCAGATTAAACCCAAATACTCTCCCTTGACACAACCTGTGCCTCAAAGTTACCCCATTTTAGACCTGGTTATCTGTAATCCAGGTCTAAATATGCACTAAATCAGCAAGTTATTTAACAGCATCAGCATAGTAATTTTATAGTAAAATAGACATTTTAGCTATGTCAGCAAAAGTGAGCGTGAAGAAAAACTCAACTGTCAGCCTGATAAAGGGGAGATTTTGTGTTTTAGGAGTGCATATGAGCATCCATACTATACATGCCTGAAAAACATCACTTTTGTTATCTAAATCAAATATATTACAAAGAGACATACTGTGATATTACATTACAGAGAGACATACTGTAGTTAAATGTTGTATGCATGGACATAACATTAATTAGTTTTGATACTATTTGTTTACTTTGGAGGTCAGGATATATTTATGACAGAAGAACAGAAGAAATATTACAATGCAATGAAGAAACTGGGATCCAAAAAGCCACAGAAACCTATACCAAGGCCAGTGGTAAGAGTGATTTGATTTTAAACCCCCTAATGTTAAATAAATATTCACTAGGGAATATGATTTTAGCCAACAACAAAAGGTTACATGTCTGTAAAGAAAATATTCTATTTATTTTATTGTAAAGGTAGAATTTGTCCTTTTTTTTCTTCATTCAGTGGACTAGATTGTTCATGTTTCATTTAAAAACATACACTCTTAAGTATGAACTGCAGGTTCTAATAAGGTTAATGTGATAAATTTCATAATTCCCTAAGTCCTAGAATAGTAGAGTCGATTGTATCATTTATTGGTTCTTGTTACCTCCAGATAAACTTAATTTTCTGTTTTCTCCTCCCAGATAATGTGTAGAAATGGGGAGGCACTAGCCCTTACTGAAGACAGAAGGGGGCAGTGGTCACCTAATGAGAAAGACAGATGCAGATAATCTTACAGGATACAAGGATGCCCTAGGGAGCAAAGCATAAAGTAGGATAAATCTGTCTCTAAGATAAGAAACTGCTATTTACTGTACTCCTACAGTATTTGGAAAAAATAAAATACTTGTTGCACCTTATGCACCAAGTGGTTAAAAATAGTCTTTCTGAGGAGAGACATATGGCAATAAACATTTAGCTAAGTACTACAGAAAAACTAGGATACTGCAGTCATGGTGTGTTGGAGACATGTAACTTCAGCATTTCAATGATCTCACCAAGCACAATTAGCTTAAGAAAGAGAGAGGCCTCTCTGGGGATTAGTATTATAAACCAGCTAAGAATAATCAGTTTCTGTTTGGCTGGTGCTTTTGCTGGCTGTCAAGTTATACCACTTTTTTTACACCAACAGAATCAATTGTCAATGTTATTACTGTTATTATTGCATTGTTTCCCTTCCCATCCCTTCAGCAAACAGTGGTACACTTCTTGATCCGCTCTTAAAATGATCTCACAGAGTAAGACATAAACCAGCATGCATTTAGTATGTAGTAATGGATGCGTCATGAACGGGTCTTGCTCTGCACTCCTAAATCTTGTAGAGACTTGCTTTCCCATTTGGCATTTGTAAAGACAAGTATTTTCAGACTATAAACTGTATCCCATCTCTGGTTTTGCAGAACAAATTCCAAGGCATGGTCTTTGATTTTGTAACCAAACAAGTATTTGACATCAGCATCATGATACTCATCTGCCTTAACATGGTCACAATGATGGTAGAAACAGATGATCAGAGTAAAGAAATGGAAACAATTTTATCCCGGATTAACCTTGTGTTCATTATCCTTTTCACTGGAGAATGTGTCCTGAAATTGATTTCACTTCGCCATTACTACTTCACTCTAGGCTGGAATATTTTTGATTTTGTGGTTGTGATTCTCTCCATAGTAGGTAAGAGCAATTCCCTTTCAAGAAAGAACTAGTGGAAGGAAAAGGGAACATTTGTTTCAGGAATGTTATGATAATGAATATGAAATTTTCTGTTTCCTGTATGACTTAAATGTTGATTCAGATGAAGTGTTGCATGTAAGATTTTTATCTCTTCCATTAGATTTGCTGTCATCTTCCACATCAGAAGACATAAAGGAACTATTTGGCACATTAGATTAACAGGGTTTAGTGGTATATGTGAACTAACCACAAATTTGTTTTCAGTACTAAAACTGAAAAGTATGTGAAGGGGTGAGATTTTTAATTGCTTTTGATAACTAAGGACTTGGTGAATATTTAGATTTCTGTCAACTAAAAGCTAATGACTCCCCAAGGTGCAAATGAGTTGTGTGACAAACCTTAAAGAGTGATTAACCTGAGCGAGGCTGCGCTGATAGTGTAGATTCTCAGGTTAAAAAGAAAAAAATACTAATTTGCAGAAATTAAGTAATATAATTGTTCATAAAAGACAGTAGTAATAGGCTCGGCTTCAAGAACTAAGACAGAAACTTCTCTTTCCAGGCTGCTTTAGGAATAACCAAAAGCTTAGGCAGACCCTGTTTACCTTGCCACAAGCGAGTCATCTTTTACTAATTTTCCTTCTTCTAGATAACATTCCAACGTCAGGAAGGTGCTTTCAAAAAAATGAAATAATTTGTATTATTGTTTTGCTATAACTATAGGCTCCCTATACTGATTGTTTTAGAGACAGCAATAAATAAAACTTTATATGGGCAGTGGAATTATAAATTTAAAATTACATTTTAAATATTCAATTTTTTTTCTCTAGGAATGTTCTTAGCTGAGATGATTGAGAAGTATTTTGTGTCCCCGACGCTATTCAGAGTCATCCGACTTGCCAGAATTGGCCGAATCCTGCGTCTCATTAAAGGCGCTAAGGGAATCCGCACTCTGCTTTTTGCTTTGATGATGTCTCTTCCTGCTTTGTTCAACATTGGTCTGCTGCTGTTCCTGGTCATGTTTATCTATGCGATATTTGGCATGTCCAACTTTGCCTATGTTAAGAGGGAAGTTGGGATTGATGACATGTTCAACTTTGAGACGTTTGGCAACAGCATGATCTGCCTGTTTCAAATTACCACATCTGCAGGCTGGGATGGTTTGCTAGCCCCAATTCTAAACAGTGGGGAGCCAGACTGTGATCCCCATAAAGACCATCCAGGGAGCTCCGTTAAAGGTGACTGTGGCAACCCTTCCGTTGGGATTTTCTTCTTTGTCAGCTACATTATCATATCATTTCTGGGAGTGGTGAACATGCACATTGCTGTGATTTTGGAGAACTTCAGTGTGGCTACTGAAGAAAGCGCTGAACCCTTGAGCGAGGATGACTTTGAGATGTTCTATGAAGTCTGGGAGAAGTTTGATCCCGACGCAACACAATTCATAGAATACAGTAAGCTGTCAGATTTTGCAGCTTCATTAGATCCTCCTCTTCTCATAGCAAAACCAAACAAAGTCCAGCTTATTGCAATGGATCTGCCCATGGTAAGCGGTGACAGAATTCACTGCCTTGACATCTTGTTTGCTTTCACAAAGCGTGTTTTGGGGGAAAGTGGAGAGATGGATGCCCTCAGAATACAGATGGAAGATCGGTTTATGGCAGCCAATCCTTCTAAAGTCTCCTATGAACCAATTACAACCACATTAAAACGAAAACAGGAGGAAGTATCTGCTGTCATTATTCAGCGTGCTTACAGACGTCATCTTTTAAGGCAAAAAGTTAAACAGGTGTCTAGTATATATAACAGAAATAAAAACAAAGAAGGAGATGGACCAGTTATAAAAGAGATAATTATTGATAAACTAAACAGGAACTCCACTCCAGAAAAGACAGATGAGAGTTCCTCTACAACTTCCCCACCTTCTTATGACAGTGTAACTAAGCCAGAGAAAGAAAAATATGAAAAAGATAAAGCAGAAAAAAACTACAAAGGTAAAGATGTCAGGGAACATAAAAAATAAAGATCTAAGAATTCTGCTTGTTGGACAACTTGTTTACAGTCTTTGAGAATGAAGCATCAACTGGACTCCTGCAGGAGATTTATGCCAAACTGACGGTTTTTACACATATATATATGTGTGTGTGTGTGCGCGCGTGTGTGTGTGCATATATATACATTATATATATACTTAAGGTCAGTGCCTATAACAAAACAGTAAACTTTCATCATCAAACTGTGACTCTGTGAATCAGGGTAACAAACTTGACAAGAGGTTACTGTTTTCACTACAGCTGACACTGCTAAGAATAAGGGAAAAAGTGGCTCCACAGAGAACAAGGAGCGTGAAATGAGTGCAAAACAATATTTTTTGTTTCACATTCTGCAAAACACATAGAACAGTAATTCTCTTCACTGTTTGTAATGTAACTGCTATATTTGTCTGATTTTTACAAAAGCAGTATCAGTGTATTTATTTTTTAATTCACAAGTTGTTTACTATTACATGTGACTATTTTTGTAGTAGGTTTTATGTTGGGGAAAGAGGTATGAGGACCAGGTGTTCTACTCTCAGATTCTCTATAATGTACAGAGAGAAGTGATTTGCATAGGCATGCTGCACTTGTCAATCATGCATAAAGGAAAATATGACATTGCACAAAGCTAAAGATTTTAAGAACTTCCACGTTTCAGGGCTGCTCTTAAACTTGAGGCATTCTAACTACTTGTATGACTGTATCCAGATTAATGTGCCTGGAAAGTCTCCTCTAATTTACAGGAATCTGCAATGACTTATTTTTATGCAAATCATTAAACATGCACGAGTTCTTGGTTTTGTTAAAAAATATTGTGTGGTTTCTGCACTGGAAAAATAGCTTTGCCAAAATATACCTGAGAGTTCTTCCACTTTCTTTTTTTTTTAAACAACTCGAGTTTTTTCCTGAATTGCTCTTTAGTTACTGCCTTCTCTCATTATAGCCAACATCCAATGAATCAATAATACCCTTTTCCATGTAAATATTAACAGTATACTGTTGTGCATATTTGAGCATAGCATTAAATGGCTTTGCCACATTGAATTGCATCAGATATGTACCACAGTATGGGTAATTTGCAAGAGCTCAACAGGACATGTCTTCTGTGTCATTATAGTTAGTTTGGAGAGTATCACTGATGCATGCCAATGCCTTTGCTGCTGTATCTTGCTCCTTCCACTGTCAACAGTCTCCACTATAGGAAGCCATGTGTCAGTGGTGAAGTGAATCAAATTGTCCAAGCAGACCTCATTCTTTCATATCATTAAGCAATAGTTTGCAGCTATTTATAAGCTTCTTTAGTTTTGCATTTTAAAATTGAAGTGGCTACTATATGGTGTAGAATCAGACTGTACAGGCTGTATTACAAACTGTTTAACCTGTTGAAAATGTGGTTAGCATATATAAATAATGTAAAGAAATACCATTTGGCAACTGTTTTGTATATAAGAAAAGTGTCTTCAAGTTTAGATCACTGCTTCTTATATTTCTTTCCTCATTCACTTGGCTTACGTTTTAACCACAGTTATTTCAAACTGGCATCATCACATTATGAGAAAAAAAAGAGTATTCGTAGACTATCTTGTTTTAATATTATATTTGAATATATTTAAATGTGAAGTAAATTGTGTAAATCTGGAACCCAGCTTGTTTCCAAATAGTTATATCTGGTAACAGGACATAGCATGGAAAGTATTAGAGGAATGTGCAAATTTCTAGCGGTTTGAATCAGAAGTTCCAAGATAGTCTTATTGTTCATTAAATCCTTGCTATCTTGCAGTGTCTGTTTACATAGCCTATTCTTATTCTTTCTGAATCACGCTGCACTAGACTTGTAAAACTAGGATCCACAATATTTCCCAAGAACAAAATGGCACATTTGTATAATCAAGGACATCAGGACATTTTGTGTTTCATACACAAGCTAACATTAAATGTAGAATCTTTCCTTTACAAATGTTTTTGACTTGTAATGTGTTGGTGAAATGCATGCAGGAAATTGCTATTATCATGAACAGCATAAACAATATTACAAATGAGCCAAAAAAAATAAAGATTTCATTTTTTTATTGTTTGGTTTTGGTTTAGGTTTTTGGGGTTTTTTTCTCTTTGTCTCTGTCCTTCTCTTGGTTAAAGCAAGCTAAAAACTGGCTTTGGTACAAATAAAGAATGTTTTCTCTATCACTAGAACCAAATACGTTATTCTTCACATTTTAATTTTTATGTAAAACAATTTAAAACAAAAAATCTGATAATTTTGACCCCACCCCATTGATTTCTACTTCTTTGTCACCAGCATGCTGTCTGGGGATAACACAGGACACCTACACATTCTGCCCCAGCAGCCTTTCTGTCAACCCTCAAGAGCCCTTCTGAAGCATAAAAGCACTGGTCAGTATCTAAGGTTGGTATGGTTTTAGTTTGCCACATTGCTGCTACCAAAGCTGCTCACACTTTACAAGTCTTAAATATGCAAACAAACTCTCCAACGAAGTTCCTCTGTTAAGTCCTGTATAACATTCAACCAAAGGGCTCATCACAAAGAGATGAACATTGGTTTTAATTGTACCACGATTCTTTTTATTCCAGTAATTCTCAAAAACAATAAATACCATGTCACTTGATCTCCCAAGAAAGGGACTGCACTGAAATTCAGCTGTGTTAAGCAGTGTTCATAGTCATAATACCCAGATGTTATACCATAACTTTTGACTCACAATTTTTTTTTTTTTTGGCACTAGAACTTTTGACTTCATGCTGTTCAAGGGCAGAAAGATGTAGTACATTGAAATACATTATCTTTTAAAATTTAAATTTTTAAAATTTTAAAATTTAAAATATCATGTTTTAAAATTAGCAATAAGTAGAATATTCCTGGAGTTTGCTTACTGCCATATTTTCATCATTTTCATCATCTGTGGATATTATGCCATATACTTTGGCTAAATATTAAATCTATTAAGATCTCTGGTATGATAAGCATCAACAATCACTGCAGCTGGGTCTCTGAGTTGGTACACCATGAAATAGGGAACCCATATTTGCTTACATGAATGGCTTTACCTATACCAGAAAACATGCCTTACCAAGAACACATGGAATTGCCTAGCCTGCTCATACGATTAGTTCCTGGACCTGGTCCCTGGCCTTGTAAGAATACAGGGTTAAAGCTCAAGACACTGTCTTCCACAGGCATCCTTACAAGGACCTGGCCTCCAGGCTGAAATTAGAGAATCATCTAATCACATTCTGTTAATGTCAATATGAAAATCTTTTAAGTCAAAGTTATGTGCATTATTTATTCCAACACTCCTCTAACTACCTTATCTAACCTCATAAATGATTCAATTTACTTCCAGAGACTTTTAGAGCTCTTCTGCTTCTTTGGTCCCTGACTTCACAATTAGCAATTCCATTTTACTCATACCTAATCATATTACTGCTAAAAAAATCACCTAAAATTTGCAGAACTTCTGCTCTGTGAACACATTGGCAAGTGTTCTGATGAGGCATGACAGTTCATCATTGATTTTCAGGAACCTGGAGTCTCTTACAGCACTCTGTAGAAATAAGATTACTGTACCCAACTTCATTACCAAGAACTGTATGTGGGAAACATTGACAATGCTTTTGGCCTGGACCAGCAGGAAGAGCTGAGGGTCTTGGTTTAACCTAGACTATAAATAGGCTCACTGCTTTAAAGGCATGTGTGTCCTTCTAATTATGCTTTGCTGCTTTTGTGAACTTCTTGCCTTCTACCTATTCTCTTTTCCACAGAAATATATTAATAGGGATTTTATCATTTAAATAGTTTGTATAATTTAAATCCCACATTACATACTCCTATCCTATGCTTCCAGATCATTTGAACAGGAATGTTATTTGAAAGAACTCCCTGCATGCTCCTCAGCAAGCTAGTAGTGATCGTTATCCCACTCAAGCATGGTTTTATATTCCACATTACTGCTACCCATTGTGCATGTAGTCCCTTCTCCACAGTTTTCAGTCAAAGAAGTATCCCTTATTGGCCCCTAAATTCCTCATGACTTAATCCTCATGACTGTATCGATCCATGTCCATGAACAGTTGAATTTTCAATGTGTCCAACCACAGACAAAATGCTTTCTACTCTGTATTAAACCTCTTATCTGTCATGTATTGCCATAATGAGAGTATTAGTAATGCTCACAGTAGAGCTGGGTCACTCTCATAAGTTTGTTACTTGCTGCTTTTATTTAGTGAGTTTTTACATGAAAAAATTTCCATGTGGATGCCGAGAAATGAGACATATTTCTGTTCAGTACATAGCAAATTAATTCACAGGGCAGCACAGCTTAATGTGTTCCCAAGCAAGTGTTCCCAGAAGTCCTAGTGCCTCACATGAGCTAATGCAGCAGTACTAACATGTGCAAAGTCATAAGAGAGTAATGAGCCTGCAGAATTAACTGAAGCTAATTCAGTACTGAAGTAATATTAACAAAGGAGGAAAGCTCAGTATATGGTAGCAAAACCAAACAAAAAACATTAAAAAAAAAAACCAACCACCAAAACCAAAAACCCACCCAAAAAACAGTCACACACCAACCTCCACCCCCAACACTTCCTCCAAGAAGGAGCAGATTGGCTACAGTTATAATAAACAGGACTGCCGTTATGACACGTTAAGTTCCCCAGCAGTCAAATGTATTTACTGTGAAATTCATTAATCCATTAAAGGAAATTGTAAGTACTCAGCACTTCTTAGCCAATTATTAATTGCTTTCTTGAAAAAAGAAGAAAAAAATCAATCATTTAGACAGTACAATTATGAAAAGAATTAATAAAATCAAGAAAACCCTCACTCAGGGGGTTCGTCTCCAGTATATGACTTGCATGGTACATCATTATTATTGCCACATGAATTGTTACCATTGTCTAAGTATATATATATTGAAGAGCTTAATTCTCTTAAAGTGCCATTTGTTATGATATTGTATGTTCATCTCTTTAGTTCATCTAGATAGATAAATTTTAAAAAACATAAAGAAATCTGAGCAGGAAAAAAAAATCACTGAAATAACAACAAAACCTGATACTTAAAATGTTTTCATTATTTTTATTCATTGCCTGTTTGAAGAATGTTTGGTTCTCCAGGCATAGATAAAAGAGAAATAATACCATGTGCCTGAAGCTGGAAACCTCAGAAATAATTCATTATAAATAGACAAAGCAAACAGTAACCACAGTTCATTACTCATGTGCTCAAATTACTGAGCTAGTTACAACGGATGCTTTCTAAAAGATCATGATTAGTTCACGTACAATTTAATAACAAGAGAGGATAAGGTAAAGCGGGATGGTGGAGTGCTGTGATCTGTTTCCACTAAACACCACAGTGCAGGGATGTGCTTTGTAATGCAACACATACTCTCCACCACTTTACAAATTAAATACTTCACCCCCATA